ATTCCATCGAGGAACAAGCCGATCAGCGTAGACTTGTCTGTTTTCTGTGCATAGCGAGACTCCATTGTCCTGTCAAGAGTAACTATCCAATCTAGTTCGTCATCGCCTTTCATCTTCATTGCAATGACAGTTTTTTACCTCTTGACCTCGACATCGCCGATGTCGGCACCACTTTGGTGACGATTGAAATAGAGGCTATGAACTTTCGTTTCCTCTTCAACATTCTCTCTTCCCAATTGTCACATCATCGAGGTATGGCGGCGATGATGACGGCGGCGGTTTTCACTTTCATACGGGATGTTCTTTTGTGATGTTTCGCCATTGTCAAAATGGCGACCTCGTTGACATCGAGGCTGGAACGTTATGCCCGCCGCCACTCAGCAAAAATGAGAATTCATTGCAGGAAGCTCGGAATTGTGCCGCCCTTTGAGCGTTGAATTCGTAAGTCTCCAGAACCTCTGGAACATCACGGCGTTACTGGAAGCGACACGAGTCTACGATTATGCCAGATCCTTCCGTCTTATCGAGTAAGGAACTTAATCTACAGAAACTCAGTGATGCCTTTGAAAACGTAGGAAGCTGTTCACTGACACCGCTGAACAGCTTCCTTGGGAGCTTATATTCATCAGCCATCCGCCCACCTCAGTTCAGTCAAAGATCAAGGTCATTCATTTTCTCGGAAAAGGCACTCCTGTATTGCGCCATAGGTCAGCTTCTTATAGAAATTGTTCTGATATTTGAATGCCCCTATGCGATGATTAGAGGAAGCTGAGTGGTGCAGAAATAGTGTGGTTATCAACTTCAGAACTGTCGGACGATTCTAAGGAATCCAACCAAGAGACTCTCGATGTAGAACAACTCCTGGGATTGACCGCTAGCTTACCCCGATTGAAGCGGAAATCTCCATGAACACCTATGGAAGATGTTGCCGTTAGAGCTAGGGCACGACATGATGACGCGGGATTTGAGGCGCCGCCTTCCACTCCCACGGGCAATGGGATTAAAATAACCACGAGTCTCATGACACTTTGCCCTTTAGCACCTGTTCACAGTAATGAACTTTTCTGGAACAATAAAGACTTCGGGACATTGATCGACAGCACAGCGTATGGATTCTACCAATAAGCAATATCCAGACAGTCGGAAATACAAACCACATGTCGACCTCAAGGCGTATCCCAGCTGGGTTGTTCAATGTATTTAATCTCGGAGTGAGTAGAGCTATGTAAGGTCGAGAATCCAAATTTCTCTCCTCACAGATTGAGACCTCCCCTACTAAACCTCTTCACTCGAAATTTCTACGCCTTTATCTATATCTATAGATACCATACGAATAAATATTTCGCCGGGGTGATGCCAGCATCTGGTCTGTTGGCATAGGAATTGTGGTTCCTTCAGTACTCAGGCCTAGCATTTTGATCCTCACAGTTAATCAAGCATTTTGGCAAACTCAGAAAAAAGGCACCATGAGCCTCAAGAGGTAGGGCCCTTGCCCTTTGATGTTTTTCATAACGAGCTAAACCACTACCTTCTCCGACAGCATTGATATTCCAAAAAAACTGAATCTAAAGCACTCTGCAGTTTGCATCAGGACTGCGGTGATCGAGAACTCGCGTGGGTGTGTATCTATCCATACACCATAACTATAGCCTTTAGCGTGTTCGTGGTGTGAGTGCACAAAATGTTGGTTGGAGAGGCATCGGCGGGGCTGAGGGGGGCGGGCGAAGTGTGTGTTCGGGCCGCCCAAACCTGCATTTGTATATCACGAACAACCGGTCGACACAACGCTGCGCCGAGCTTGGCTCAGACGACTCGACTCGGACGGAACTCGTGTCGTCTGTGATCTGTGCGACGACCCATTCCTTAGCCGACTGAGACTGAGCTCGTGATCTTAGGCCAGATCGTGTACACGCCAACAACAACGATCGAGTCACCATACCCGGTTATTTTCGTCCACCTGGCTACTAGACAACTCGCCCATCTATTCATAACGTCTACATAAACACTTTAAACCACCTTTGAAGTGGCACCAATGATCTCGTATACCAATCTAGTCATCATTCTATTTACATTATTAGCATGGACATATGCCAGGTAAGAATCATTGCTACTGTTTCTTTCCTCTTTTTTTGAGTTCTTCATGTTTTTACTAGCCTTTTATGAATATGTGGATGAAGTTTTTCTGAGAGCTTGCCGACAAAACTCGTTCTAAAACTGTTTGCTGACAGAGAGAGAAAGAAAGTAACGACGGTTTTTCACCGTAACAAGTTTCCCTGGAGATTATCTATCTAACCCCGCTGGTTATTCATTCTGAAGATCGATTTCCAAGAAACCAACTCACAAAAGTGATTGAGTGAATCGATTTTTTCCCCTGATGTTCCAGAAAATTCACTGTGCTTCGACTGAAACCCGCCACAACCACTGATGTCGAATTTCTTCAAGAACTCCTTATGAAAGATGTCAAGGTCTGTTTTTTTAGCCTCCGTCACGGCGAAATACGTCATCTATCTTGTCGGTGATTGCAGTATTAATGGGTTCTTCGATTGTTGTAATTAAACACAAAAAAACACCATTTTTTATGATATTTTTTTCAAATCTATCTTGCGCGACCAGGTACCGGCATGGTTTCGCTCGAATAAACCTTTTAATTTTTTCACGTTCCTTTTTAACTGGTTTTTGAGGACAGTTGTACACAGGAACGCAGAATTTTGCCCTTTGAACGCTTTGGGGTCTACGGAGAACGGCAGAAAGGGCTCATGAATAGGAACTAGCTTAGGACCTCGGATAACCTGTAGTCCTAATATGTATATAGCCTTTTGAATAGGCTTTCAACTATAATAGATCAGTTTGAATTATAAAGGGAATAATTTCAATTGTTTAGAGGCATATATAATTTTCTATGAGATTATTTTATTGACAGCTTTAATTTCTTCATGATATGCGTCACTATTTTAGCTGACAATCATTCCAAAACGAAAAAAAATCTGGAAATTCTGTAACCTTTCCTATCATTGTTTTTGAAGGAATCAGTAACTTTCTCCTATGGCTTTTTGTCAAATCAGATTGAAAAAGACCTCCTACTGTAACTGTCTTTTCTACAACTTTTTTTCATCCCCTTGTAACCATCTCTGCAATGATTTTCAATCACTGAAAGCAAAATAAAAAGTTAACGAAGATTGATGGCTGCATTCCAACACAACTGACTGCTTTTCTGCAGTTTACTCAGCCCTTACTAGAAAAAAGAACTCAAATGTCGTCATGATTCATATTCCTCTCCATTATCATTCCTCACATTTTTTTTTCTGAGTTTCCGCTCCTATCTCAACACACACTCACAAGCTAATTGTCCCATCATCATATTTTTCGATTGCTGATTTATTGGTCACCTATAGTATTGATATTCATGATCATAGAGAATATAAAAAACAGTGGGATACAGCCAAGAGCAGAGTTGCTGTAGAGGCAAGCGCTACACACACGCATAGCTCGGGGATCGAATCCCGAATCAATATCAATGTAGGCCAACCAACAATTCACTCTCGGTTGAGGTTAATCAGTGCTGTACTCTTCTGTGAAGATGTAAGCCCTGACTTGTACATCTACTGACCACCGCAAGTCATTGTATAGGCCACATACGCATTCAAACGATTCTGAATGGGAGTCGAATGCGGGGCATATCAAAAATGGAATTGATTGACACCAAAGATTTTATTTTTCGATTTAGGGGATGTAGCCTTTCATCCCCTAAATCGAAAAATAAAATGTGAAGCCAACTTCATTATCCATACTATTAATCTATATCATTTCACATGATGTTATGAAACATTTTGTTCCGCCGTATCATATCATACTGTATTATATTATATTATATTATATTACATTATATTATATTATATTATATTATATTATATTATATTATACTATGCTATGATTTGTTTTATTTTATTTATTTTATTACACTACAACCATTCTTTCTTGCTGAAATGACTTTTGATTTACATCACTTTCCTGCTGATTTAGTTCAATTTTTGTTCGTTTTGCTCAGGTGGTTGTGACTCCGCTGCATTATACCGTTAGGTGCCCAGGAAGTGCGTGAATAAGTAAATAAATCAGTTCGTCTTGAACAGCACCTTTATTGAACCAATTTTACAAATTGTTGGTTCCTATCGAGTCAATTAATATTCGAAAGACCTTTGTTGCTACACGAGAGCAGAAGGTTTCAGGCCCTGATTAAGATAGCAGATGGGATCGAGTCTATAAAGTACCTATTATCTCACGTCAGATGAATCTATACTTCAAGAGAGGTTGACTGTTCATTCCCTTCAGACCCTTCAGACAACCAGAAAAGGAACGATCATCGTATAAACGATGTCTCGACCGATTCACATCATAGCACGAGTACACACAAAGAAGGTTATAGTAGACATGCCCATTATTCATTTGAAACGAAGTTTCAAAGAATACCAGTTTCTATTCGATATTCTCGGAAAGGCATCATAATCATGAACTTCTCCCACCCGTATTAACCATTCCGTACTATATTGCGAAAAGAGAAAGAACGCACATCATTTTTACAGGGCGAGGCTGGTGTGGTAGCAAGTGTCGCACGATCACCCATGCATGGTCACGGTTTTGAATCCCGGATCGATATCTGTCCAACAATACCCTCCATCCCTCCGGGCTCGGTTTATTGGTACCAGACTCGTCTGCGAGGAGTGGGGCACTGATTTGTACATGGCCACCACAAGTCATGTATAGTCCATATACGCATTCAAGACACCACTGCGATTCTGAACGGAAGACGAATGTGATGGCGCATCCCACTTGGGGATTGACCCTGGCCAAAAACTTCATCCTTCACATTATGCCCATAGATTACGACTGTCCCCTAGTACTTCAACAGATTTTATTTATTTTTACTACTAATTATTCTACTTTTCTGAAAAAAAAAACTTGAAGTTTGGAGGTTTCATTGTTTTCAAACTATTCAGCTCGACTTTTGGAAAGCACCAACGGAGCCCGGTCGAGAAGTGCATGTCATGTTGGATGATGTAGCCAAAAAGAATCTCATCGAAGAGCTGGATTCCCGGAACATTACCTACTCGGTGATGATCGAAGATGTCAAAAAGTACGGTACTTTTTGGTAACAATTACTAAACAATTACTACTTCTACTTCCGTCTACTTCTGATTTTAACCTGTAGTTCTTATTGTTAAAACTGTTCTTTTTTGTGCTTTCTTAATGGTCGAGAAATATAATAGAAATGCGTGCGTTTGCGTTGCGTACTCGAAAGAATAATGGAGCTAGAGCGGGACAATGGCTAAATCCCACATTTCACTATTTCTTTTTCGACTCCCGTTAGGTTGTGATTACGACTTAGCCCCTAACCACTACGACAGGAGCAGTAATTCGAGACCTGGAACTTTCACCATTAATTTTCGGTAGTTTCGGTCGTGGTTACGTACTCTTCTGATTACAGCAATCCATCATGTTCCCAACGACGTTGTCCTTTTGAAACCTGTTTACCATTTGTTGACCGACAGTCATGTCATTATCGTAATCACACCCGGGATAACTGTTGATCTCTCGTTTCATTTATGATAGAGTGCCGCCTAGGCAGAGAGGAAGCGAAAGTCCAACGGGGCCGGTTTAGATACCCGGGGAGAAAGTGGTTGTGTGACAGCGTGATTCGTTGTATTAGCTAGCGCCTATGAATATCCTAATCGACAATAATCGCTACAGATTAGAACCAAGCCCCTCTGCTACCACGTAACATCAAACGTATCAACAGAAAATCCTTCTGTTACATTATTAATGGCAGTAATTCGGCAAACTGTGAAACTTCAAAAGAAATCGTACAAACGTCACACCCTCTTGAAGACTCTTTTTAAGATCGTTAAACGTCCGAAACATGAAAGAAACAAGCTTCGAATATTGACCTTGGAAAAATTGCCGATTACTGTAATTTTCACTTCTCACTTCCTCGAGCTCTAACTGTCGTAGTTATGAAGCGGTAATCGAGTTTCGCAACAGACCTCGCCTTAAACAATCGAGCTCCTCCCATTACTTACATGTCATTTTTCCGTACAAATAAGAGGATACAGAATTCAGAGGAGTCTAAGATCGAAAAAATCAACCAAAAAATTAAATTGGTACGTGATGAATTGTGCATCGGTCAAATGTGGGAGTCGTTGTAGAGGTCTCACATCCAATTGCAACAAAGATTCTGCATGCGAACCGACGCATGGCGTGTCCCGGAAACTTCCCGACTGAGTATTTTATTGTTCGTAATTTATTTTTTTATTTAATTATACCATAATTTATATGACTTTTGATAATTCAGCAAAGTTGAAGAGAAGAAAAAAATACTTTTTACGAAGTCGATGATGATATCGTGCTCGATACCTTCTATTTTTAGCACTCCCCTCTCATAATTTCGCCTCAAAAGTGTCATTTCTCTTGAATTCACTTTGTCTTTGACCTCATTTCTGAGAATCAAAACAAGGGCTATGTCGTACCACTTTCTATGCCATTTCTTTACAGAAAACAGTATGGTATAAACCATTACTCTTATAATATAGTTCCCATTCAATTGATTCTTGGGATCCTACGTCGAAATCGAAGACGATCGGAAGTGACATTAGATCAGTTAGTAGGACATGGCAATTGATTGAAAATCTATCCAACAAGTTTTCAGCTCGGTAATAAAGCTTTGAAAAAACCCATCCTGTATTCCTATGTTAAGAAATTCTGACTACTCCCCATTACTCGTGGATTTTATACCATCAGATCCGTTTAAATCTGGTACTCATTCGTCCGTCTTTACACGCTTAAACGAACTAATGAATTCTTAAGGCAAGTGTGAGGGCTGATCAGTTTCTCGAAAATCACCTAATGATATCGAAGCTGGAAAATTTTTTAAATTGGATATTAATCATTTCTGACGTTTTTAACGTTACTAGATTTCTTTCTATAAAGTTTTTAGTAGATTGCAAACAACAGCAAATGAAGTATAGGTCCAGAAGGCCCAACGTTTCTCAAAACCGTTCTATTAATGCTAAACTAATAAAACATCGATAAACTAATTAGTAGTTTGTAAATGATGATGAACATTCTACAGATAAACGAAAAGGGAAAGTAAATATTTCTTCTGGAGAAAATCGGATACTATTTGTTTGTAGGGTTTTAGAGCACCTAGTTAATATTTTATAATTCAATCAAAATGAACGAAAATCGAGAATACTAAAGTTGGGTAAAGTGATCACATCTACAGATTTTCCAAAATACGTCAATACAAAAAACAAACTCCATTTTTTAGGTTTTAATTTAATATTTCTCTTTTAATTTTGCGACTTCTCTTTGAATTTTTTTGAAATCAAACACTACTTCCTTCACTCTGTTAGGTTACATACCGTTGAGTATTACACTTTGAATCTTACTACATTACCTTTTATCGCGATCTATCTTGTCTATTTATCATTTACTTTTGAAGTCTTTCGAAGTGTATTGACTCTAAATTACATTCTTCTGTAACATCAAAGATTCTATAGCGATTCATTCACCCTAGCCTTGCTTTGAAGATCTCTGTCGGGAGAACAGTGACTGGAACAGTATCGAACTGCATACCCTGCATACCTACGCAATTGCCATTAACACGAACGGATCAGACCATCTTTGATCATCGTTTTCTGGCCTTGATAACGATCAATATCATCGGTAAAAATCGTTATTAGAAGCGAAATGTCTCACCCGCAGCCGTAAACGTTGTAAACGACCTTCACGGTTTGTAACGATACCTCGTAAGCATTCCGAAACAATGCTAATACGACCCGTTATACGATAATACGATTACGCAAACCTAATCGAGGGATTCTGACCACGCATGGCTTGATCTTGCACTAGTAGTTGTAAAAAACTTCTAAACAAAGTAAACCCTTAACAATTTCGAGATAATAAGCTATCTGATTACTGTTTTGTTCAGATTCTAGACATTTATTTATTTTATTCATCTATGTATTTATCCACTTATTTACATTTTTGCTGTTTACCTAACTTTTGAGTAAACAATTATCCACAATCTTTTTTTTTTTGCAGTCAACCGGATTTGACCCTGACAGCACCTTTCCCTACAGCTCTTGACCCGAATATTACTATTTGTTTGGGTGGGAATGATTCCTATGAGTGTCTTTCCTCCAAAGTTATAATGGTAAAACTATTGTGTAAGGGAGTAATAAATAATTACAGCTGGTAATTTCAAATAAATGCTTTCCCTTACCACTTGGTTATCCATACCTTGAAGGGATTGACCACCCTTATTTACCACAAATGTCCTTATCTATGTAGGAGTACCTGAGGGAAGTAGTTAACTCAACTTTGGTTTATTAGATCTAACTAAGCCGTCAAAAAGTGCAGGGCTAGTGATTTGGGACCGGTTTACCATCTGGTTTGGATTTACACTTCCGGGAGAAGGTCTTTGAGCGTCCCATTTCCCATGGTGAAACCAGGTTTGACCCGAGTTTTTCCGAAGTTTCTAAAACTTGAAACGGAGTTGATCGTGGAGCGGTTCGGGATTCCCAAGAGAACTTCCGCCGTTTCCGTGGTCTAGTACTGGTAGTAGCCAAGAAAGACTACCAAACTATACCATTACTAACTATTTTTTATTACAAATACTAACTGCTATTACCGTTGCTTACCATTGCAAGGTGGTATTGACAAACGCTTTTTCTTTGCCCTTTCTCACCTCGATTATGTCATTTGAATATCCTATGAACTTTGTGTAAAAACTATAAAAACTATATCTACTATTAGCATAATCGAGTTAGAATAGAACGACCGATAAATAAAAACGAACGTGACATTCCAGTTGCCATTAGAACCTAGTTTCGCTTATTAAATGCAATTCATTACCTTGGCGACGCAATCTTAGATCGTATCTGTGAAGTGAAAAGGTGGGTCTGGCGCTACTCGATCTGATGATTTATTATTTATGCACTTATAAGAAAAAAAAAACAAAGCTTCAAAACTCTCTTCCGGAACCACCTTCCTAACGAGGGGCTAGAAAGTGAGAAGTTCCAAAATGTTCTAAGGATTTCGGAGGTGTCAAGTTGCTGTAGAATGTGGTCGAGCTCAATATAAATCTCTTCACAAGATACATGACTAGCTGCTTGATATAAAAAAGACGACCACCCGATTTTCACAGCACAAGCTTCCCACTGATCACTACCATCGAAGAAGTAACATTTTCGGGGCAGAACTTCAGAGGAATTTGCAGATTCCCCCGATCTCATGATGATTTGATCAACTGAAATTTCGAGTAAAGACGCTTTCCACTAAAAAAATTCAGACGAAGTTTTTTTTTTGAAAATTTTCGAAAATTATAAACATTTATTACGTTTTCGCAAGTCAGATTGCTAGGAATCGCTCTGTATTAATTTGTCCAGGGCAATTATATAAGTTGTATTATGTTAGATTACTTATTTTTGTTTTATTTTCGTTCCATTTTCCAATATTCTAGTTGTTTTTCAGCTTTTGAGGTTTTCTTTTTTTTGGTTTTTTCAATTGGGCAGTACATGTTCAGCAACTCTGCCTATATTCTGACGAAAAAGTTGATTCTGAGTTGTAGTTCCGATCAGGACATGGCCCGAAAAGGAACACGATGGCTTGTCGTTCCCGATCGCTTTTGATTGTGTCGGCAATGACGAAAGGATTTTTGACGATTTTTGCTGCTTTTCTGCCAAAGTGTAGCCAAACACGGTTTTGCTGTTGCTCCTCTAATTCTACTTCGCAAAACTTAATGACTTTCTTTTTTGTCTTCTCTCTAATGCACCGGAAAGGTTTTTACGGTACTTATCATTTCCTATTGTAATACTGCGTAACCTTTGCTTATCAAGCCATTCTCCATACTCATAGAATGCAGGCCATACCTAGTGTGCAAGGGAGAACTTGTTCCAGTAGCTTATCCAAGAATCCATCTCTTTACAGACCGCGTTCCACCACTCTGCTACGCGACTAAACAGCTGGTCACGCGGATCAGCCACGGTGTCGCCACCACGGCCAAGGCCGCCGCCACCGTCATTGCCCCGGTTCACGCATAGCTGCTGCGCTCGTCATGTTCCCGGGGAAACCCCATGGATGTTATGTAAAGAAGGTCAGAGCTAGTCGAGTGGAGTTGAAAGATAGGGCGAAAAGCCTAAGATCATCAGTGCCTATTCTAGCCGACTCAATGTCAAGTAGGAGACAAATAGGTACCAGGTCAACATAGCATATAAATAGCTTTCGCCTTTCACCGCTATATTTAGCCTATCCGTCCACGCAAGTGGGTCATTTCATCCGTTTTCGGCCGGTTGGCACCTACCTCTACCAAGCTAATACTCAAGCGCTTTCCAAACTTGTGCCTAGCATTTTTGGACCATTCTTCGTCACCATGTTCAGAGTCTCCCTCATCGATCTTCCTTAAGCTCTGAGGTATGTCCTTTGCGGTTATGGTCAGTCAAGGACCTATCACAGTCGCCATGTGGTTAACCTCAAAATTCAGTGCAGAACCCATAGTGGTTACACCAAATATTTCTTGATATTTTATTTTATTTTAGTTTTGATTATGATATTTTTACTTTATTTATTTTTTTAAACTTATTAGTAATATTTTTATTATCTTAATTATTTATAAATTCTATTTGTTACCATGTTGCCGAACATGGATTTTATATGTTCAACCACTAGCTTAACTATATCAATTTAGTCCTGCTCACCCTGAAACTGACCAAGTAGAGCCGATATTCGATGTAGTTCCAAATAAACTGTTCAAATCAATAGGCAGAAGCCCTTAAATTATCCAAAAGGAGACGCATTCGGAAAATGAATATTTCTCCAACATTTATCAACTCATTTGCAAAGGGAACTAACTATCAATAATCTTTGGAGTAAAAAGATTTTTCATAGAAGATCAATCAATATCCCATAGTTTTTATCTTTGCTGGTTCCACTACGATGCCATGGAGCAGCCAGATACATTCTTGAGAACAAAACTATGAATTCTTNTAGGCAGAAGCCCTTAAATTATCCAAAAGGAGACGCATTCGGAAAATGAATATTTCTCCAACATTTATCAACTCATTTGCAAAGGGAACTATCAACAATCTTCGAAGTAAAAAGATTTTTCATAGAAGATCAATCAATATCCCATAAGTTTTTATCTTCGCTGGTTCCACTACGATGCCATGGAGCAGCCAGATACATTCTTGAGAATAAAACTATGAATTCTTCATAAGAACAATGAAAGGTATCCGAAGGTCATTAATTGTTTTCTAATCAATTTCCCTACATACCAGAGGTTTTACTTTATTGTTCAGAGACTACTGAAAAAAATACGTTTCTACTACTGACTACAATTCTGAACAAAAGTTAAATACATGGCTCAAAACCGGAAAAGAATTTGAACAAGTCAAGATCAGTCCTTAATTCTCACCTACTGCCTTGTCTTGTTCCTGTTTACATTTATATATCCCTTTCTCCTTTTTCAAAAAATATTTCTATTTTTGTGAGGACGGAACAATAACCGTGATATTCATACTTTTATCTAGTAATCAATCAATAACTNATAATTTTCGAAATGAATAAAATTATAATTCGGCTACAACAAATAAGCCGAAAATGAAAATTTTCAGATCAAATTAAAACCGTGTCTTGCCGCATAGTTTTTAATAGGCTTAAGAAAAATCACCGAATTAATCGAAAATTAAATCAAAATTATTGAATGAGTAAACAAACAAAGGCGAATTTTCTCTCAGTATTTACGTGGAAATAATATAAAAATTACATAACCATGAAATGACTGAATACTACCAAATAATTGGCTTTATAATAAATAACGGAGCAGGTGGTGTAATGGCAGCGGCACTCTATCACACACGCATGATCACGGGCTCGAATCTAGGGGTCATTATCCGCCTGGGCCCACCAAGCCTTTCATCCATCAAGGGTCGGTATAAGACTAGACTGAGAGAATTTAAACACTGACTTGTACATCGGCTGACCACCCTAAGTAATTGTATGAGCCACTTACGCTTTCAATATGCCACTACCATTCTGAATGGAAGTGGGGTACAGGGCGCATCCCAACTGGACTGAACAACGTCGAAAACATTGTCATTCTTCCTTGATATTGGACAGGCATTTGCCTTTATAGCAGACATTAGAATGGCTCTTTTATGCAAAGCTGGATGATAATCCCTCATCCGAATCCTGGATTATTGAAGTAGAGATGGGGTGTCTAGGATAGTCAAGGTTTCGACCATTTCGCGTCATTTCACATCATATTCTAACTGACTTGCTGGTTTTTTTCAGGGACTCTGACCAGCCCGGGTATAATTCACATAGACAAACTCCCTAATAAGATTCCGGTCTCCTGCAACAGACTTTATCCAGATTATCTCCACATTGCCAAGGACAGGAAGAGATCGAGAAGGGAGACGTGAATCATCACAAACACTTCCAGCTTTCAATTTTCTCACCGACTAGGCCGATTTTGCTTCCGCCAGATATTTTGCCCATGAATCAGATATCGCTAGATTTATTGCTCAATGTCAGTTGACACGACAGACCGTTTTTGCTTTCGCTAGAATTTCCTGTAATACCGAAATCGAAATTATGAACATCTCCAAAGTACAAGAAGGGACATAAAGGGGACAGAAAAAACGACAGAACGACCCTGAACAATGAACGACAAACTAAACCCGCATGGTCGACACCATTCAGTCCATTTTCGGGATGCGCCACGCACTCCGTTTGAAAATCTCAAGGGAATTTGTATGAGTTCGGATCCAGTCAAACATGGTTTCTATCCTTGTTGAATACCCAGGCTCTACTAAGTTGAGTTGTTCGATCCCTGGGAGAGGGGGATTGGTCAGGTTTCTCCAAACTTTCCTCTCTCTAGCACTTATCACTTAAAGCGCAGAGGTTAGGGCTAGTGCTTTCCCGCAAGATCAAATCTAATCCTAGACAAGGTCCACTTCTAGAAATCTGTTGATCAGTAAGACTATCGACTGGGAGGGCGAAATGCTGTCATTCATATTAGCTATTAGTTGTTGCAGCTGAAGGCCAGAATCCATTGTAATACCATGACCCCCAATAGTGTTCTGGTTCATGGATTCAAAGAGACCAACATCTAGGGAGGTCTGCACTCTTCTTCACGTCGCTCTTCGGTAAAAAAACACTTGGCAAACCAGTTTTTCAACTTATGGATCACTTCTTTTCTCCTACCTCCACGACACTTTCTCAATTCACTAGCCATTCACAACAAAAAACTTCAACCCAACCATCCACTTACACACTTGAGTGCTTTCTTTGGTAGTAATTGAATGTGCGAAATCGTTTCATTCCATCACGTCGTGTTTTCAGAGTGATCACTGATCAGAAAATCAAGCACGACAAGATCAAAAGTCAACGACGATTGAGAGATTGGCGGGACGGGAAGGTGAGTAAGGGACCTCCACAGATGGCAACCCAGAACTTTATTTACACTGGGCAGACTCTGAGAAACCCCTGTATCAAAAACGGGGACTTAAAGAACAAAGCTCATCCTGAGAATGCGACACCTTTTTAACATATCGCACCCATTAGCAATTTTATCTATGTGGCTATGAACACATACACTGTACACTCACCTTCTTCATTAGCTCCCGTAAAACAGAACCATAGCAACTTTTTGGGAAGTAGGTCGAATCAATCAAATCGGCTGCTTTTTTACAGGTTCAATTCAATCTGGCTCAATACCATTCGTTTGCGGATGTCATTAATTATCTAAATGCTCTGGCAATTACCTATCCAGAAAGGGTATCCGTTCAACCAATCGGTACTACACATGAAGGACGGCAAATTCCACTCATCAAGGTATGCGTAAATCAGATCTGTCCACTTTTATGAACACTCATTTCATTTCATTGTTGAATTAATAATATTTTTCACGAGTAGAAGTATTGCATAGCTTGGGGGCGCAGCTTTGTGCTAGGAAGACTCAACGTATTGTGGTCAAGACTAAATATAATAATTATAACACTTATGATATTAGACTGATATCAGAGTCTTGAAGACTGAGGTAGACTGCTGAACTACTGCGTAAGCAAAATAAAACTATGGCCTTTACAATATTCGATGGGATCGAATACATGGCGCATCCCCATTCTGTTGTTACACATCAAGCGAGTTGTAATATGATCCTCTCTTCTGATGACCGGAATCATGATGTCCAATGTTTACTGATAGGAAAAAAATCTCTAAAGTACACGGCTCAATGTCTATTTGGAACCCAACCGGAACCGGCTCTTGAGAAATCATCGCCACAGGCTCGGCAGGGACTTATTCGAAATGAATGTTGAAGGGTTACGGGATTGCGATTCGGCATTTTGCTCCATTACGATTTTCCTCATCGATAGAGGCTCAGAAACTAAACCCCATCTTTTTTTACTCAGTGTGCCTAACCCTTGGGCGAGATGTAGTGAAGAATTCTATTTATTAAAACTTTTGAGAGCATCAGAAAACAGGACTCCTGAAGGCAAACGAGCCCTACTGTATCCAAGGATCTACACTATGTAATTCTGAATAAGTAATAGATAGTAAATAACTTCACTAAAATTATATACTATTTCTGTTATTCAGGAATTCAAAATCTATTTCGCAAATTAGGTTTCTGGATGGAATTCAAGTCGGGTTTTTTTAAAGAAAAAAAGAATTCAAAAATAGTAACTGTTATAGTACCATGACCGCTAGGAAGAATACTATCAAGGTCCCCTTGAGACCTTTCCTCCTCGTGGGATCGAATTCTGTTCAACAAAACCGAACACTTCTTTCTATTCCTTCATTTTCTTCTATTCCTTCTTCCCAAATTACCAAGTACTCCCAAAGTTGATCGTAGGAGTATGATAACTAGCCGGAACATCGACCAAGTAACAAGAACCGTCAAAACCCGCATTGTTGAGCACTCGACTATGCTATAACCTTATGCTTCCTTTCGTAATGCAACTAGAAAACCCTTGATTTCATTTGGCCGCCGATTCTCCTTTTCTTATGCCCTATAGGTATACAGTTCCTTTAAGAAATGTAAATATTTCAGAAATGAGTTTCTTCAGTAAATATTTCTACAGTGTTGACAGCAAAACTGGATGTTTTTCCTTGGAAATGGAGCTTTTCATGACTTTCACGACCTTCTCGCTCTTTGTTTACCTTCTCTTCAACCCAATACCCATCACTACTTGTAGACGTTGCTATCGTTTTTCACTTCACTTCTTTTCCGTCCTTTACGATGGGCCTCGTAAATATTCGCCGTGCAATGTTGACAAGATTCCTACAGCACAGGGTTCAAGAAGTTTGTACAAGTTCAAAAAAAGACAGTTAAGAGGTAGGGATGGAGAGGGGGTTCCCGAGCAGAAGTGAAAAAAGGCTCGTCAGAGCAGTTCAAGCTGGGTTAAGGTAGATTTTCTCGGAGGGTACTGTAACTTGACTGCCCTCCTGAACACGGTAGGAAGAGCTCTCACCCAGAACTTCTGTGGAATACGCCCGCGACGTTTCAAAAATGGAAGCGGTATTGGTTGGCCTGTGCGATACGTTCAATAGGAGTCGATTTCCAAATATCCGGTTCATCGGTTTCACTTCCGAATAGGTCGCTACGTCAATTTCGTGAGTGCTACGTTGGTCAGCTCAATTCGACTGCTGTTCGGCGTCCGCTTGCTATTTGCTTTTGAGCATCCGCAAATATCACAGCACACTCGTATCCTTTCGAAGTGCGAACCCACCCGCAAGTGCCTAACTCGGGGACCGGAAGTGCGGTCAGTGGACACCCGAGGGATTATTTCCATTCGTGGAAACGTCCCGTCAACCCCATACGGTCAAATGAAAGCTTTACCAACTAATATCGATAGATAGATACCAATCAAAAAGTGTTCAATGGGCGGTGGGAAGGTGCTTCACTTTGCCCATCTGAGGCTCTGGAGAAATGAGTATAGCTTAGTAAGTAGAAAAGGCATCAAAGACAAATAGATTTCAAGAAGCTCTTTACACAACTACTCAGATACTGTCTAGCTCCACTTCCCCGCTCCCTCAAGTTATTCACTCCTGTATTAGGTCCCTCTCAGGAAAATCAAATAATCTCTCTCTTTTGGCCAACTAGTTGATTCTTGAAAGGGCGCTGAGAGTGCGAGCTCACACCTGCATATCACTAGCCTCTGCAGGCTCAAATGAGACGTGGTCTCAAACAGATTCATTCCCTTGGGAAGGTAATCTTTAGTTGCGAGAAACCGCAGAAACGCCGCCTAGTGTTTACCATATTTGGATAGCTAACCTTTTCAGAAGTGATCTGGAAATAAAATAGAAAAAATCTTGTCTCATCACGACTGTGGACCTACGAGTTTTTCAGAACTTTCCGATTTCCCATATTCCTGGGCACTCAAAACCGAGATTTCTGTCCTATAATCGAAAGCCCTCCAGCTTTTTTCTGCTATGTTCCGGGAAATGATTGAGGCAGGCTAAGCACTGAGTGGTTACCATCGGACTACTTTTTACTCATCAACTCGAGATTAGGAACGCTAAAGCGCTCAATGCAGAGCAGACTGCCTGAGGAAAAAGTAACACTGTAAAGCAAATAATCCCTTTCTCAAAGTACTATACAAATATCTGGCCTCTTTACATAATAGTACAACGTGCCCTCTTATTCTTGACTCAACGAGAACAAAAAGGATCTTCTTGGAATACTTGAGAGGATATGCCAATATCTGAAAAAAGAAATAGATTCACCAAATTCTTCTAAGTGCACCATGAACCCAGTTTCTACGAAGATTCACAGAATGGCAATCAAAAGTTGTTTGATAACAAATAATGGCTCTTATAATCACCAATCGCTCATAACTACATATAATATGTTGACGAGAGCATTGCCATTTATCCAGAGAGAAACTGCTTTGAATAGTAACCTCATTGAAAACCACACATAGAGCAACAAAACTTCTCAGTAGAGACATAGATTTAATCGTTTATGACGAATCGATTACAGTGGAGTGTGCGGTCAACCTGACCTATTCTCATCAAATCACGTGCATGGCTCAATCTCCACAGCTCCTTTAGTGCTGATGACCACGTATAAGTCATTTTCGAAAAGTTGAAGTTTCTACCGGTATAAAGCAAAGGGCTACGTTTGGACGAGGGACAATCATTTGACTACTTTACTGATAATTAACATATTTGCTTGATTACTGCGATGAGTAAACAGTGTAAACGTTAACTATGTGTAAATTAGAGCAGACTACCTAAGTAAAATAGGCTTCTCCATATGTAGCGCTAGTTTTTAAAAACTTCATTCTAGTGCTTGAAAATGGATACGGCCAAGAACCGCTTGAAAAACTCACAATTTCCCCTTTTTTCAAGCGCTCCCTATTGTTCAAAAAGCATTGTAAATGACCAAAAAATTGGAAATCATATAAATAGAGTTTTGCGTGCCAGTCGGTTCGCCCACATTAGCTGCTTCTCAGGAATTTCACCAGCGTTCGCTAAATCCAATTGAGCAAATTTTTGTCGACTAATTTAGTATAATTTCAGTATAATCGCAATATATGCCAGCTTTTGAGATATAATAACAACAAATAATAACAATGACAGTATGGCAATAATGAAATAGACAAGTCGAACTATCTCAAGCCTGTCATGTAATTTGATCCCCTACTGCCAGAGCTCCCATTTCTGGTGCTGTGTTATTCATATCCTTTGAAAACTTGATGGAGCTCAACTAAGAGGACTGCCTCAAAAAATCGACAGTGGAATTGTATGAAATATTGCCTTTGGATCTTATTTCTCAACTTTGGGCGAGCCGATGCAGTTCAGGGTCCAAGGATGCATGGAATGAATATACAGAATCCCACTGCCTTCCATAATTGTAGGTCTCGTTCGGGTCTATTGACCATCCTTTGTTTTCAAACGAGTCAGTGTAGTTCTGCTTCAATACCATATGCCTACTTGACAAAGCTCAGAATCCACATCATTTCGAAAACTATAATTCAAACTTGAAACTTTAACTTTAAATTTACGTACCTGTGTACATTTCTGGAGTAGGATCGTTGAACCGATCGGTTCCGCTATCGGGACAAAGGCTCAGTTCTTGCGAAGTCTCAAATAAATTGCGGTCCGTGATAGTATCGACATCACACAGGCGGACAGTTGCAAAGAAGCCTTTAATTCTGAATACATAAAAAAAAGTAATTGGAATAAGGAACAGTCATTTAAGAACAGAAAAGAGTCAGCTCAATTAGTGATTATAATTACAGAGCGAAGTCAATCAAAAAAATTTTTAATTATTGGGTGAAAATGTAGTTGGGAGGGGGCCAATTATCACAATGTTAGTATAACAAGGAATGAACTCAATGAAACGTGTTATGTCCTGTTACGTCAGGGACATGCAAGTTTTTTTCGAAGCTTCAGTAGGGAAGGAGCACCGCGGTGGGAGAATTTTCTTTCTTTTTTTCTTTCTTTTCACACGAGGTAATCATTCCACCCACCCAGGTGCTCCTACCCTACTTAGGCTTGGTTAAAAACTACATTCCCCTGGATGAATCGCATAAAAGCGCCCAGATGGCCAGTACCCATCTTCTTCTTGGTATCCAATGCAGTGCTAATATAACAAAGATTAACATGTCAGACTGAGTTATTTTCTTGATATACAACCCTTGGACGGGCGCCCCCCCCCCCCCCCCCCCCCCCCCCC